CTGCATATTACAGGTATCTTGTATATAAAGGGAAATTTAAGAAGTGGAAATTAATAATCAAGAGTTTTGTGCACTCTACATCCTCTAAGGAGGTCTGTGTGGACTGCTGGTTTACCAGAGACACTTTTTCCATCGTAGATAAATCTGATTACTGCTTTTCTGCCCCATCTGTAAAGCAGAGATTATATTTCTTTACATTTTAGATACCTCCAAAGCTAAAACAACAAATATTTGTAATTTACTTTGTGATTCTGGATCACATAATTTTCTGGCACTTTTCTATTATGTTCTAGGAGTTATGTGAATCTTGATTTCCCAGACAGGCTTTATCAAAGACTTAGGGCTAGGAAAAGGCAGCTTTATGAAAAAGTGTACTATGTATTTCACAATTGTATCCCTTATAAAGACTTCCTTGTGTTTGATCTTCAGGTTATTAACATCCTGCAGCAAGTCATCACTTCAGCCGAAAGTTTTGTGAAAGACATAAACTCTACATGAAAACTGACTGTAATTAAGTCTTACATTCAGGACCCTGATGAGTGATACCCAGGGAGAAGTAGAAGATGGTGAATTTCACAGAGAATGCGACTGAGAAGTGCAATATTAATCATGATATCCACGAGACATTATCCCCTGTGGTGTACATATTTGTGTTTATATTAGGCTTGCCAGCTAACTGCCTGTCACTGTACTATGGGTATTTACAGATCAAAGCTAAAAATGAACTAGGTATCTATCTTTGCAATTTGACTATAGCAGACCTGCTGTACATATTTTCTTTGCCTTTTTGGCTTCAGTATGCTTTACAGCATGACAACTGGACCTACGATGAGCTGCTGTGCAAAGTTTGTGGCATCATCCTGTATGAGAATATCTACATCAGCGTGGGCTTCCTGTGCTGCATCTCCATCGACCGTTATCTGGCCGTGGTGCACCCCTTCCGCTTTCAGCGCTTTCGGACCATGAAAGCTGCTGCCATCGTGAGCATCGTTATCTGGGCCAAAGAAATTATGACATGCTGCTTTGTCTTCACACATGGGGAGATCAGTATGGATGCTGAGAGCCACTTGGTGTGCTTTGAGCATTACCCCATCAAGAAATGGGAGCACAATGTCAATTACTACCGCTTCTCTGCTGGCTTCCTTTTCCCCCTCTTCCTGCTGGCCTTCTCCTACTGTGGGATTTTACGAGTTGTCCACAAGAGTCCTGGCACTCAAAAGAAGAAGAAAATCCAAATTAAAAGACTGGTTTCAAGCACTGTTTTCATATTTTTAGTCTGCTTTGGACCATACCACATCCTACTCGTAGTTCGTAGCTTGTTGGAGAACAACTGCTCATTTGCTGAGAAAATATTTAATGTTTATCATATTTCTCTCCTGTTAACTACTTTTAACTGTGTTGCTGATCCAGTATTGTACTGTTTTTCCAGTGAAAGCACTTACCAGAACTTTGTCAAGATGAGAGACTCTTGTCTAACATGTTTAGGCCACCTGAGTACTGAGAAGAAGGAATCCTATCCACTGAACACTACTGAAACTCCCAACAGAACACAGCATGAACAACAACCAGGGTTATTACAAATACCACTTGATGGTGCTGGAATGAAGGACTGCTTCACAACTAATGTAGATACCCTCTAGCATTAATCAAAAGAACCTTAATCCTACATCTGCAGCTATGGCTGTGTTTGTGTATCTGCCTGAATTATTCATATATTACAACAGTGTGACCTCCCAAAGGCATATAAGCAATGCTGTACAGTGAAGCTGTTTCTGGAGGTGCTTGGACACTGGCAATAGTGAGGAAAGTATGTGCTAAGTCAGTTCAGTTATAATCATGTATGTGTTGTTGTGTTACCACTTAAAACCTGTTTGTCTTGATGACTGCATTGACTGGAATAAGCCAGTGCTCATGGTGTGTAGTTCTGGTGAACTGATCTTTAGCTGCTTTCTGTTTGCCCCTGTAGCATCTAGAGAAAGTAACTCTCTACAAGATGTCATCATCTGTTGAAAAGGTCAGAGACAGAAAAAATAAATGCCCCCATATATACTTTTAAAAAGCAAAAGCCCAATAAAACACTTCTGCAACATTTCTGTAACCCTCTGAAATAACTTCTGCCAGTTTCAAAGCCTGCAGAAACCATGCCAGAACCAGATTCCTAAAACAATCAGTCAGATAATGCCAGATATTATGGGAGAACATGCACAAAGAACTCAGCACCTGCTAAGACCCTCAGGCTGTTTTTTGGCTGTTGAATCTCAGATTGTTAAACCTCATTGTAAGGCTCCTAGAGACTTCTGGAAGTGTGAGACTGGGCTCCAGTGGGTGTCAATAACTTGGTTTGCTGACTCAGAAGAGAACAAGAGGTTGGGAGTATGTGAGGCACTTTGTTCCATGTGCTTCTCTGAGTCATTGTGTTCAAGAATATTTAATCACATCTAAATTCTACTACACCTTGCTAAGGTTTTGATTGTGTGCCTTGCAATTTGTGTATCTTATGCAGCACAGACCATACAGGCAATTAAATAACAATGTATTTGTCAGGGAAACTGTTGAATGAATTCTGTTTAAACTTATTTTTTGCCCACAGATAATATAGTTTAGGGTTTGGTCATTGTTCAGTAAATACAGTATCAGAAATATGATGTATGAATGATCTGTGTCCTGTTTTAGACAGAAACAAAATACAGGAGTAAATGGAGAATAATGGCTTTTAAAGACGTGGGAGTTGTGCTCCACAGTATTATTTCTACCACCACCTCCTCTCTAGATTTTTTAATGAGTCCCGTGTGATTCTTTGTGATCTGCTCATCACACCTTCTTGTACCTATAGCTGTTACAACATGAATATTGCCTTGTCCTTTCAATTCTCTCTGAAGGTTTCAGACCTTCCTTGGAACACCTCTCTCTCTGCAACCGGAGCTGATAACTTCCAGCAGTATAATCAGTTTTGTTTCCTTGGTTTGCTTTTGAGGCAAAAGATTGTCTAGACAGATGGTCTACTCCTGCTATCTGAATGTGTCATTGTAACACAGCCTTGCTTGTCATCAGATTCCAAAAGGAATATATTCTAACAGTTTTCTGGAAACTACCTTGGGAGTGTAATATTGGATATAATTAGTGGATGTGTTTAATAAAGAATGTTTTTATAATTTTCTTTTTATATATTTCCACACTATGTTTGAAATAACTATCTTTTAGCTTTGGCCCACAGTTTCTGTTTGTGAGACTACAGATCCTCTCCTTCCTCCTCTTGCAGAAAGGTTTCATGTTCCCAGTCCCAAGAGGGGATTAGGTTTGCTTAGGTTAACATTTGGTTTGTTTTATTATTTTACATTTCTTTATACTTCAACCACTCAGCTGGATTAATTACCTTACATCTGCATATTTTTCTCATGACTATTAGTACTGTTTATCTTTATTTTCTCCTAATCTTTCATCTCATCTGCTGTGTATTCCAAGGGGGTCATTAGGCAGGGACTCCCTCCTGACTGCTGTAGCGTTGAGCTTGTGCACCAACTCCTTGGACCTCCACGACTTGTCAGGCTGCAAGGCAGAGCATGCTGTATTACATGGAATTGTCATCAGAGGGATTAAGGCTCGTTGGTACTTTGATGTGGTCAACTTTGGTCAGCTGCTGCAGTTTAAAATCAGATGGGAACTTGTGTAACACAGCTCAGCATTCTGCACAATTCTCAGCACATAACCTGCTAACCTGCAACAGAAAGGAGGGATTTTTTTCGTCTTTTCCCCTCTTTTTTTTTTTTTTTCTTGAGACCAATATTTTATCAATTCTTTCTATACTGTAACTGTTCGGCTTAGGCTGCAGAACTGTAACCAATATAGCAGGAAGGTAACTCCCACTCAGACCTTTCCTTCCATCTCAGTCAAAACACTGAAATCACTCAAGGGTCCTGCTAAGGTTGCTACAGACATGCTACACATGCAACTAAAGTAAATGCCATGCTTGGGACGGCACAAAAAAAAGGCAATTTAAAAGCACGCAGAAAAAGAGAAATAAATTATTAAATTTTGTATTTCTTAATGAAAACTGACTGTTAAGACTTATATTTTGGGGAAAAAGAGAGCAAAATCTTACTAAATGAAATTTTTTGACAAAAGTTAGTGCTTGGAAATATACATTGCACCTGTCAGTGTAATATGTCAATAGCACAGAGAGAATAAAATCAGCTGCTTCTTTTAAAATTATGCCAATTTCACTCCGTGAGTTCCATGCAGCAGTGAACAAATGCCATCCTGCAGGGTTACTGGCTTTGGCAAAGAGTTCAAGCATTCAGATGAAATATTTTACTCGATATTTATAGTTTTGAGAGTTTGGAGACTTCTAAAGGAGATATTTTCTAATTATGAAACTTCTAAGATACTTTTCTAGAACATCCTTTGAGGAGGTTTTAGATAAAATGAATAAAAAAAAAAAGACTGATATAGAAAATTAAAATTGGGATCTTTGGTGAACCTGAACGTCTAGCAGAAATGTGTCATTAAGATTTCTTTCTGTCATGTATTCAACTATTTTATGTCTTTAAAGGCTCTGTATCCTCAGAGTCTTCAGGAGATTAATGTTCAAAATATGCTGGTGTTTGTGGTATGAAATTATTTTTCTCATTCTGAAAGTTGTTTGTCTTGCATCAAAGAAGGAAAATAAAACTCACCTGCAGGAAGGAAAAGAAATATAAAGTGTTGCTTGCTGCTGGAAGTCCAACTAAAGGCAACTTCCATTTTATGACAGGTAAAGCACCAGTGCTCTAGAGGTGGTGTCAAATGTACCCTCCCCTCTCTGCTTCGAGGGCTGAGAGCCAGTAGAACTTCATTCCTGACACTCACCTGGAGTTAAGGTAAAATCACAGCTTTAAATGACAACAGCTGGGCACAGTTCACAACCATTTATCATGCACTGCTTCAATGTTAGCAATCCTATGTGACAGAATTTGATGTTACTTCACTTGGTCTTGTCAGGAGCTGAATTTCTACAACAGGAATTCATAATTCATGTAGAAGTTTATTTACACAATGTTATTCCATACTGAATGCAAATGTTTATTCATTTCTAATTCATACTTTAATTTCTAATAATTAATTTTAATAATTATTTTTGTATTCAATTAATTTCTTCATAACAACAGGATACTCTGAAATGTCTACAGCTTTTCTCTATTACTCATGAAGTGGCAAAATATGCAAGTAGTTAATGGCACAGCTGACCCTTTACACAGAAGATCTGCAATGCTGCCCTTATTTTCATTAGCTCAGTAAAAATTTTCTCCTTATCTCCTTGCACTTCCACAAACTATCTCCCACCATAAGAACACGGTGTTAGAGGGGCTACAGGACGTGTGCAATGGAGCTCTCATTACTCTAACACTGCAGTTTTGTTTTGAATCTTCCCTCTCTACTGTAGCTGTTTTCCTCACCACAAGTATTTTTAAAATCAAGTTGCTACGCGAGTTACTTCCTGTTGCAGTTATGAGGTTAGTAAAACAAGAACAGCAGTGCAATAATATCTCATTATAATTTCATGCTTTCTTTGTAAAAGCCAGATCACCTCTTATTATATAATGTCATTTAATATTCATTTTCCTTTATAAAATTACAGAAAAGAAAGGGAGACCAAGTGGATGATATCCTCTTCTTGTTTCACAGAGATGATGTAAGGATAACAATGAAAGGCTGTGTGTGGTCAAGACACCAGAGATGAAAAGTCATCTTTTTCCAATCTTTTACACCTTGTGAGAGCCTCAAGAATAAGGAAATGACATGGGAGCAATTCTTGATGCAGAAATCACTAGGGGCAGTCACTGCTGTGCTTCCTGCAGCAGCTTTTCAATCATATGAGAATGGGTGTTGTAGAAGGGCAGCCCATCCACTTCCATCTCTAGACTGGCAGTTTTGCCACTGCGGACCCCGAGCTGCACAAGTGTTTTCAGAAGCTTTTCTTCCTTGAAAAACAATGAAACAGTGTATAATTATAATTCTGAACCAGACAAGAGCAGTCATCAAGATCTTATTTTAATTCTGGGAGAGTCTGACCATATCCTCCATATTTATTTTGCCATCAACTTGCAACTACTATCTTGTCCCAAAGAATATGTTTAGCATCTGGAGCTCAGAGAGTGTCAGGTGCTTTATAATCTTGACTGCTATTTAACCACTGAATACTATTTTTCTCCACACTGCCCCAAACAGAACATTAGTAGCGATTCAGAAACATCATTTTTTGCCTGGTTTCAAGTTCCTATATTGCACAAATCAGAATCAGAGGAACTTCCACCCAAAGTATCTCAAAAATCCATCTGTGGTTTTCCTAGCAAGGCAGCTGGCTGCAGCTGCATTTTTATAGAAAAAGAACAGAACAGAAAGAGGATGCACCAGGAAAAAAGGTTACAGAGAGCACCTGGACGGGCTGCACGCTCACTTTCCTTTCCTGCAGCTTCTCTGATCTCTCTGTGTCTTTGGCCCTCTCTTCCCTTTTCATTACTGATTTTATGAGAATTCTGGTTGCTTAGGGAAGAAGTAGGGAGAAAACAACCTCGGAAATTGTGCATCCTTGGCATGCTTTGAACTAGCGCATGCTTTGTTTAGAACTGCAGTTATTTTCTTGCTTAACTAATATAAGCAGATAACAAAGCGTGTTCCAAGTTGAGCTGTAGAAGTACACAGAGGGAACAAAATCCTTTTTTGTGAGCTACAGGCCAGTTAGTATTGTGGGATGAAAAGATGGGATAAAATGAGCTCCGAAAAAACCACAGGGAACAATGAAATTTGAAGATCTGGTTTTAAGTGGATGTATGTCTGGCATAAACTGCTCTACTTTTAATTTGCCATGAAATGTATACAGTAAAACTTCCTCTTTTTTAGCATTTACTGTAGTGAGAATTTATTCCTTGAATTCTGTTAATAAAAATCTAAGAAAATGAATAACCTAGTAACTTTTTAGCTTGCCCTTTACCAATTCTGTGATAGGTTATATAAGACCTTGAAACACTTACCTGTCTTTTCCTCCCTTTCTTTACTAGGAATGATCTTTCTGGTCTTTGTCTACTGTGCTATTTCCATTTCCATGGAAATTGCTACTGCAACAATCCTACCAGTGTCCTTGACAAAGAGGTCTCTAGATTTTAACACTTCTTGTTTGACATTACCACACAATAACCTCTAGGAAAGTTCTTTATCTGCTGGACACAAACGAATGATGAAAAAAAAAAAAGTTCAAATATCTAATTTTCTCTTATCAAATGTTAGGACTTTTTCTAGGAACACTTCTAAACCACATCTATAGATCTGAATTGAGACACAATATGGTTGTATTTTACCTAATACATGTCCAAAATATAATAATTTCTGAATGAAGCAAAGCATGCCCTGTATGATCAGTTCAGTGTAATTTTGTAACCTGCTCTTGCACTTTCCTGATAAAACACCCTAATTCTTAGCTCCAACAAAATTAAATGAGGCTCTGGTTTTCTACCAAAGGAAAAATATGCATAGTTACATGGTGTCAGCAGCGACACAGCTATTTAAGGAAATTATCTGGATACATTAGTAGCATAAAGTTTGCTACTTTATAATTTATAAAATTATAAAAACACATCAGTTTATATAATATGAATGATCATATACATAAATGCAAATACATATGACTGTTATTTCTACACAACAGAGATTTCTCTTAGCACTGAGTGTATCTAAATGCAAAAGGGCAAAGGAGATCTCTCCTGTCACAGAAGAGACACCTAAATTGGATACACAAAATAGAATCTCTAATATGAATAGCTTGTGCTATATATTTACATATTGGAGCTCTCTGATCTGCTTATATGAGGTAAAAAAGTCTGCTTGCTTAATACTACATAACTATGTCTGATAAACTATAGCCTGTCATCAAATGCTACTGTTTCCATTTGTAATAAGCAAATACAATGTATAGCATGCTTCCTTAGCTGTACAGAGCTGCAATTTGACTACAGTTCTCTCTTTAGTAAATAATTCTGTTGGGAGTGGGGTAATGGGAAAAAATAATCAAATTAATAGAAAAATATCTCATTAATTTGTGCTTTATTCAAGGGGGAAAACCTCCTTTTGAATGGCAAAGCTAATAAAGCACACCAAAAAATGTCACTCCTTTATATATTTATAATAGAATTAATACTCTTATAGGTCATAATATAAAAAAACAACTATAGAATTAATAAGTTGACATTAACAAAGAGTTTAGTAAAAGAACAAATCTTGATATATTAACCTGTTTGTGAAGTGCAATGTAATGCAGAGCTGACTGTAAGATGTTTAGCTTTAGCTACATTTGGATATGTATGAATTAATTAATTTCATTACTGTCACTTTGGTGTAAAAGTACTATGAACATCTGAGAAACCAAGCCAATACCATAATCAAATTATTAGGTAAGCAAAGGTAAAGTTAAGCAAAGATTGTTTAGGTCCAGTTGTTTCCTGCTCCTGCAGTTCTCACCATGGAACAAATGCTTTGCAGCATCTCACTCAGATGTGTGTAAAGGCTCATCCATGAACTCAGAACAATCTCAGTTTGCTGCTCAGTGGGAAGGGAGAGCTCTGCAGTTCTGGGGTTTGGCAAAGCAATCCTGACACTGCTCGAACACCAGCCTGCAGGGAAATAATGTTGGTTTTTCAGGGGAAGTCTTCACTTAGTATGACCTACAGCATTCATGGAAGTGCCATTTTTTGAAGAAAAATAAAGCACATTATAAGAAAGCTGTCTGGTGCTAAGGGACTCCGTCAAATGTCCTCTTTCCAAATACAATCACAAATATTATCACTGAGATGGATCTGTGTGGTGCTGCTCTTTATCTCACTAGGGTAATCATTATAACATTAAATGAAGCTGAATTTTGCAGAAAGTAGATAAACATAAATGGTCTGGGTTTTTTCTACTAATGGAGTATTGTGAATACTAATGTATTCAATCTTCTGCACTGTTCATTGTTGTGTGATTTATAATTAAAGATATCATATTTTCTTGTCAGACATTTTGTCATTTTCTCTCCTCCGGAAAACTGCTTCCATTAATTTTATCTCAATAGATTTTGTTGTACTTTCAGTAGCCCATTATTGGATCATTAATATTCCCAGGTGTATAGCTGAGTAAACCAAAAACAAGAAGGTTTTCCTGTACACAATATAACATTTAATTACAGTATCTCATTACCAGGAATTTTGATCCTAGTCATTTTAGGCATTAATTTAAAGGTCAAAAACCAGTAGATGCAACTGGAAAAAACACTGAAAACTGAAAAGTAATTAATCTATTTTATAAAAAGACTGCTGTAAAGGGCCATATAAGCTTTGTTAAGCTATATGGCTATGGCAAATGTTGTGCTCAGTTTCAGTTTTATGACCTCTAGATGAAAAACTAAGATAGCAAGAATTTAAAAATATAAATTAGTGTAAAATACTTAAAAGGTGCTTTGTTGGAATTCCATGCAGAATGTCCTGTCATCTCAGGAGAAAAACTTCTTTTTTTTGGGGCAGTAGCTATGGTACATGGATTGCATTTTTCTTAGCATTCTTGGTGGTCACACACTTAAAGGATTTGTCAATCTCTGTAGAAGTACTCTGCTAATGAAGCTCAATTTTGAAGTTCCTAATTTATTGTAAAGTTGTGGAACAAATCTTATTTAATCATTAAGTGTGTGTGTATATATAGACAGTTCTTTTTTTTTAACCACTGCCAAGTTAAAAATAGAGGCACGTGCTTAGTGGGATGAGCACAGATCACAGTCATTTCTCACCCCTCTCAGTTATTTTATTTTTTCTCAGTCTGAAACCTTTGCATTCCCAGAATATCACACTGTAGAGAGCTGCATTAGTCAAAACACATTTAAAAATATTCATGTACAAGTTTTTCTCCGACTTTGAAAATCATTCAAAACTAATTGTAGAAAGGTTCCAGCAAACTAGAAAAGGTGGAAAGAGCAGAAGTAAGGTACAAAGATCAGAAGTAAGGAGTGGCTACTGCATAAGAACTGTGACTTTTGATTTTGGAAGCAGACATCTAAGGGACACTACAACAAAGGGTTTTAAAATCATGAATGATGCTAAAGAAGCAAACAGAGAATTTAAATGACTGTATCTCAATACAAGGATTTCTTGCATTGCCCATAAAATTGTAGCACTGTCTTCTGCTTGAAGATACAAGACATGAACACATTCATATTGGAGGATTTTTATTTGCAATCCTTGAATCCTTTGTGGAAAGCAGTCTAAGGACAGTGTGGCTGCTCCTTCCCAAGGAATCCCCAGAAGTGCCCAAAGACCTTGGTGAGGTGAGGTATTGAACCAGACCAGGACTGAGCAGCTGGTGGCCACTTGCATCTCCCTGTGATGAGCAAGTCCCACCCCCAGGGGCTCAGGAATTACCTTGGTGACAGACGGGAGCGCGGGCAGCCAGAGCCCCCTGCTCGGTGTGCGGGGGAAGCCGACAGCTCTGCGCAGGTAGCGGTCGTGGATGTCACAGCAGCGCAGCACGTACAGAGCACAGGCAATGGCATAGCCACCCCAGTTAGACACCCCTGCGAAGAGTGGCACTGTCAAACCAAACTGCACAGATTGGCTGCTTTGTGCCCAGAGCGTGTCAGAGATACCTGTGCTAGGAATGGAGAAACCTGAGCCCAAGGACAATATGGACCACCCAGTTTACAAAGGTCCTTGCTTGCTGAACACCTCTCTCTCACTGTGAGTTTTATCTCATAATGGTGTAAAAGAGAATTTTAACTATAACATTCAACTTTTGTTGAACATCAAGAAAATTAAGAACACTAAGAACATATATTTTTCCTTGAGTGATTATTGAAAGGACTTATCTCTCTGTAAAGGGGCAATATGACTAATTTATGCCTGATGGGGGTAGACTCTAAACAGAATTTTATCAATTATATTGAAAATTCGTATGTGCACAGACATTTTAATTCCCACACAGATCACTTCTGCAGTCTTCCTTATTAATATTTGTTATTGAGTAACCTGGTCTAGTCAAAGGTTTTCTGCCCATGGTACAGGGAGTAGGAACTAGATGATCTCTACGGTCCCTTTCAACCCAAACCATTCTAGGATTCTATGGTTCTATGATTTTATGTAATGTGTGATTTTTCAAGAATACTCAGGATTTGCCCAACTATTTCCAATTAAGTGCACTTTGTTCACGGAACATTCTCAATTTTCAGCCAGTTCTTCTGAAGCAACAGGCACTTTAACTCTTCAGAAAATGTACATAATACAGAGATCAGTTGAGGATGACTTGGAAAAGGCCAATAAAAGTTACTTGGAAAGACAAATGTTTCCTTGTCAGTTCTGTTCTGGAATATCAGCTACTCTCCCACCCCACGAAAAAATCCCTTACCAGCTACAACAGTAAAGTCAGCTTCAACATCACAAGCTATAACATCTCCATTTTTTATGTGCTTCTTTACAGCATCTTTTACTTTTCCCATTCCTAATTCGTTTCCTCCATCTCCAACACCTTTATAAAAGAGAAAAAGACAAAATGAGTATGAACACAGCATATAACTGACAATCCCTTTAGAAAACACCCCGTTTCTTCCCCACAGTGGCTGTGATAGTTCATAGCTCCATATGAGATGGTTTACCCTTTTTCATCCACAGCCCTCAAAACAGAAGACTGTGAATGAAATAGCTGAAAGTGTCATCTATTATATGCCAACCTCTAAGTTTATACATGGAATGTACACTGTACATGGCATGCATGTGAAAGAAATCAAAATTATCAAGAGGTTGTGAACTGCAGACAGAATCAAGACAGCAAACTTTGCTTATGGAAGGCCTTACATGGGTGCTCTATATAATGTGTTATCAGAAGTATATCAGCACAAATAAAGAAAGAAAATTAAACCCAAGTCAACCTGAGAAATCAGCCAACGATTCTATGACAAAGCAAGCATAGAAAACTTTGGCTTGTTACAAGCTTTAATTAAAAGAACAGAATAGAAATAATAATTATTGCAGAAAGACAAGCAAAAATATACAAAAGGATTTGAGCAGAAGCAGGCCTGACTGCACTGCCCATCTGTTTGATACAGATCATTAACATGGTGCAGTACACTAAGAGCTCAGCCCTGTACACTATTACTGTTTTCATTTTTCATAGTCCCTTACAAAAAAAATAGCTAGTCTTTATTTTTTTAAATTTTCTTATATACCATATGTTGGGCCTTAGTTTTTGTCACACAAATAGAAATACTGTGTATTTGTCTTAGTGATTTTAGTGAAATCAATGGGAAATATGCAATTTCAGGAAAATTCTAGGCAACCCTAAATCGGGACATAAAGTCATCAGATGTCATTTAGATATCCAGAGGTGAGGGTAACATACAAATTAGCAGTTTACATAAAAGCTGGATAGTACCACTAGTCTCTTACCAATATATAAAAAATATTTAAATTATTATTTATCATTACTAATAAATTATTATTACTATTCAGTTGGAAATTTAAATTTCTCTTTCATCTGTTAGTCTGAATGGCATCTTCTTCAATTTGAAGATTTTACAGAAAAATCCTAGAGCATGTCTGTGAAACAGAACAGTGAAGAGCTCCAAGTCCTCACTGTATCAGATTTGAATTTGAAATGCAACTGTGCTCTAATGCATAGCATGTGTTACAGAAGAGAAATTACAATATTTATAATTTACACTTCAAGTCCTGAAAACTGGTAAATTTAACACTTTTAGTAACTGCATAAATATCTCATGTGTCTGTAGCAAATTTCTTCTTTAAGTGAAATGGAAAGTTATTTCTCAGCAGCAATTTTTTATTTGATTCCTAAGTCTATCCAGTCAAGTGAGGCATAACTGAGTGACACATAGCTTACATAAAAGGATTTGCCATGGAACAGCTACTCTTTTTTATTTGCTTTAATAATCTGCTCACATTTATTTCACCATTGGGAGTTAGTGGTGCTTTCAAAAATCACTTTATTGGTAGTATTTTTCAAACAGGTATTGATATAATACTGGTGCTTCTATCCTTATATATAAATATGGAAGTTCTACTGCTTTGTAAGAATCACACACAATGTTCTGATTTTTATTACATTCAAAATTAAAATTTTTGCTCTTAATATTCTTGTCCCATGAAGATAACCGACAGTATCTTTAACTATATCCATTGCTCAGGGCTTTTTCTATCAGTCCTGCTTTGCTTTTCCTGTCTTTGCTGGAGTCCTGTCACCAGGATGGCCACACAATTAGTAGATCTATTGCTGTGGATGGATCCCATTTGTGTGACACTGGGAGGAAAAGAACACCCCACTGAAAAGTCTCCTGTCCCATCTGTTTTCCTCTTCCTGCACACATTGCCAGAGAACTTTATTTTGCTGCAGATCTCCAGGGTAAAATTCACCTGTGCAAACACAGCCATCCACACATGAGCCAGTCAGCTACACTGCTTTTAAAGTCAGCAGAAAGAAACACTCCCTTCACACATTCAGTTCATCTCACCCCAAGGCAGACATCTCAAATATAGATGTCTGAAAATAGGCAAGATGAATCCTCTCCTAAAGGCCCAATTTCTTTCCAGGCAAAGGAAAAATAGTTCTGCTGGATCTTCCATGCAAGTTCCCACTGACTACATTGTTTTCTGAAATTACATTCATGAAATATGCAGGAGACATCAGTCTTCTGTGCTAAAAATCTTTTGTATGAAAGGAAAATGTGTGATCCCCTTTTTTCATCCAGTACTTTGGAAAGCTTTTAATTAGCCCCTATATAAATAGCATATAGCTATGTCAATTGCATGACAGCTGAAAAAAATAATATGTGCTTCCAGTAACATCTCTTAATCTTTTATTTCAGTCTTATGTAGAAAATTAGTCCCTTCCAAACTCAGCCCTTCATGTCTTCTTACTCTGTGAATTCCTTGAGGCTGCTCCTCACTTTCTGAGTTTTTAGGATGTCAGTACCCATACAATTGCAGGCATTGCTCATGCTTTGTTTGTGGTCAAACTACCAGATCAGATTTTTTTAAAAAACACAGCTCTTGTTTTAAATGCAACACTTGACAGCAATTAATCAGCATGTAACAAATGTTCTGACATTTCCCCTCTCCACCTACTGACACAGTACTTCTCGCCATGGAGCACACTATATAAAGAACTTCTGTAGGCTGAAAACTTGATCCCTCTGTATTCTAGTCTATAAGGTTATTCAAGTATTCCACCCTAATTCTGTACAATATTTGCATTTATTTTGGAACTGAATTCCTACTGACCATAAAGAAAGTTGAAGACAGCACCATCAGAAAAAAATTTTATCCTCATCTGTAGCAGCACATTGCTATTGATGCCTTTAGTTTTAAGTTTTCCTGTTCTCCTTGGATGTGCTTTTCTGATGTGCTAGGGTGATAAAGACAAAACAGTCCTATTCTAGTTAAGAACTCAAGGACAGTTTCTCCAAACTTCAGGTCCTAAGCACAAACTACATGGAAAGGTGGAGGGTGGGTTCATGCAAATTAACCAGAACCTATAAAAGTGTAAGATTTTGTGACCAACCCCCTCCTTTCCTTCCATCTTGGAGCCATCCAGGCAGGGGCCACGACTGTGGCACTTATATTGCTGGGGTGTGGCTTTTGTAGGCCTTTCGTAGGCCTCTCAATAAATACCCATTTTATTCTACTTAACTCTGTGTGTAGCCTCTGTTCCAGCTCCTCAAGGCATCACTATCAGTAATGGGAGACAAAACACAAAGGCCACAGTGGCTAAGTTAAACTACACTTTGCAGAAACACATTGAAAAACCCAACATCCAACCCAAGAAATTGCTACCCAATTAAAATAACAGACACAAAAAAATTAGTGTGATAAGCAAAACAAGAAAGGTTAACTAGGTGAGAGACAATGTAAGAATTCTCCAGAGCAGAATATCCACGTACATAAATGCCATGGGAGACCAGAGCAGATCCCTCCACTGTCCTTTGAAGCCTCTGACTTGTTAAACCATTTTCTATGCAGAAATCTCTTTAGAGAAAGTTCACAGCACTGAGACATAGCGAATCTGAATAATGGCTTTTCTTCTTTTTCACCTGAGGTATTTTTTATTAATGACAATTCATAGTATATTTGAATATTCAGAGAAATTTTGAAACAAACTACATTCTGCTGAATAGATTCAAATTCTCAGCTGGCAGAACATTCCAAACTCCAGCAAATGAATAATATACTTTGAGTGGATCTGGGAGATATTTGAAGTGATTAGGGTATTTTTAGTAAAGGAATCAGGGTGTGATGTTATGTAAGTAGCTGGAGAGATCGAATTCTTGTATCAACAACCTAAAATCAGGGACAGGAGTTGAAACTAACAGCAGATGATATAACTCTGAGGTATTTTGCTAGACATCTTTACAAAACAGAGCTTTTCCTATACTTATTCAGTCAGTCTTTGTCCTCTGTTGAGATTGCCAAGACAGTGCCATCTAGAGTGCTTCCTTTGGAATGCTGGAAGGCACATCTTATGAATAGAAAAAAACACAAATTAAATCTAAATACAAAGTATTGCAATTTCACAACAAAAAAATATCAGTGAAGTCCTCTGCCATACAGCTTTTAAATGATACCAATACGGTGAAATCAGGCTATGCATCATCTCTGCAGAAGCTCTCTAAATTCTGTGGAAACATTAGAAAAACAACAAAACTGAGAAGCCAAAGTTCCCATGCTTTTGGTAATACTTAGGAGCAACTCCACAGCACTATAAGAAGAAAAAAGGCTAAATCAGCAGACATGCTCTGATGTGACAGAAATCAGTCTGGCATGGGTACTTATTTCTAATTTAATTCTAATATTTACACAGATTATATATCTCCAAAACTCTCATTTGGGCCACATATGGTAGAAGGAAACATTTGATTGTACAAGAATGTTGTACAATGGTCTATGGCATAATTTTTCAAAACCAGAAAAGAAAAAAAAGTTTATTGCCTAAAGAGAGGAGCAGCACATTGACTAAAGCATTCTCATTAGAGGTATTAGCAAAGGCCAATGTTGTTTTGGTGGGAAGGACAAGGCATTCCTTTGAAAATTTTTACTGTACACACATATTTTGTAGGAGAAGGCACTATTTTAAGAGATGCAAATATGTAATCCCTGCTTAAAGGAATGAACTGCTAAAGACAATATAAACAAAGATTCTACCCAGACTGCTGTTTTAACTTAGGTGTAACAACCATAAAACCAATACTTCAATAAGTAATGTTACCATCCAACAACCATTTATGTTCTATGTTGCCTTCAATACAAAGGGTAAGAACAAAGTCACTTTCAAAAACTCCACTTAGAGTGTATGTACATAGACTTATGTATAGGTAATACATCTGAGCTTGCGTTTTTGCTTTTTTGTCCTTAAATAACTTTGAAATAATTTTTGGGGTTTTTTTATCTGTGAGAATCCTTCAATAGATTTTTGTCGTTTTTCTCCAGCAACAGTGTCTTCAAATCCAATCACAACAAACAGCTGTAGCCTGAAAGCAGCCACTCAGCACCTGCCTCCTGCTCCCCTTCACTACCAGTAGGAGTTTCTGCTCTGTGCTTCTCTTGAAGCTTCTGAGAATGTCACACAAACTCACACTTACCGGTTGTTGTGACTCCTGGAATGGTTTGTGCAGCTAAAAATAGTTCATCTATAGGATCCACGAGATGTTTAATGTTAACTTTCCTGGCATTGTAATAGTTGCCATCAGCAGCCATCCCAGCACGCTCTATTGCTACCAGGTGATCAAATCTGGCCAGAGGTAAGTGAAAAAACAGAGGAGAGAAGTCAAATCTGTGATTTTCACATGAAAAATTCTTCTGTTGGCTGCTTATGCATGGTTCTACTTTTTGACCATTAGGGATTCAAGGTAAAACTTGGATACTGTTTTGCTGTTTCTGAATGTAGTTGTCTATGGTGTTTTTTTCAAAGGTTAGTTCAGGGTTTTTAAAATAGCTTTAGTGCAGCTCCTCCAAACCTCATTTGCTACCAAGAAATGGAGAAGTTCCTGCAGTCCTCCTAGCCAGTAATCCTTTGGGTCAGCCATCTGGCCTGGCTCTGTTTCACATTAAAGCAGATGGTATCTTGTAAAATATTAGTCTCTGTAAGTGTATTCAAAGAAAACAAAAAAGTGGAAAATAAATGATAATCTAAATCCTAGTTAGTGCAAATACATTCTCTGCCTAAAGTACATTGCTTGGCAAATATTCATCTGTTTCTAGTTAGGCAATGTTTGGGTTTGGGTCTTTAGATTTGGGGGACTTATTTTTTAAGTCTGTGGCTGTTGTGCTGGTTATGAAAGTAGACAGATGTACTGCAGCTGTCCCACGTTTTAAGTAGAACTATAGTACTCAGTTCTGACACTGTTAGAATTAAGTTATTTTGCTTCTGTTTCTCTGATTGTCTGATTGACTGTCAAGAGGTTACTAATTCTGCTGAATTACTTAATGTTCTTGTGGGTGGGTATCTACAGTGATTCCAGAGACCTTTATCAGGTTAGTTGTCTACTTAAAAAAATATTTCAGCTTTTTGGGACTAAAGGACCAATTTAAACAGAATTGGACTTCTATTAAACATAGCAATAAACCACATTTTTAAAACAACACATAAAAAATGAAGACAGTATCATGTATACTATTACAGTACATACTAACCTGTGGAAAGAAATGGGAATTCAATAAGTTAATGAAGCAAATACCAGGGTGAAAGACCTTTTTATTAAAGAATGCAAACTGAGGGTAACTACATTAAAATACTTTACATGGAAAGATCAATAAAAATGAGCAATGTATGACTACTTCAAGGAAATTTAAGTTGCATGATAAGTAATGAAATGAGCATACAGCTACTTAGCAAATTTTCCAGTGCATTAACCCTAATCACACCATTACAAATACATGACATTTTATTAAGTCAGATTAGATTCCCTAGCTGTCAGACTAGAGCTAAAGCTCTAGAAAATGCACACTTTCCACAGCTCTTTCACTGACTTTGATATAATACTTTTTGATCTTCTCACTGATTTAAAATTTGGTAAAATAATACATAGTGTGTGTACATATATTTATAGACTAAGAGCAGAAAATCTTTTAGAAATTTTTTGAAGGAAAAGAACTGTTGATATATGAAGATTTCTTTTTTGTACTCCACAAGTACATAATTGCAGAATAATGTGGAAGTCTGTTCTCTGTGTATGCTCCAATAACAGTGTTTGGCTTCAAAGTTTGTTCTGTGCATTTAAAGTCTTAAGGATTTACTTGCAGCCATTGTACCTTCTTAGACCATGTTCCTTATTTTTATTATAATTTTGCACAGTAGAGGTGTGACCCATTCTCAAAAACTGAATTACACATACCTAGGTCTTCCAGGATTCCCATTCTCACACAAAAACATTAAAGCTGAATCAGCACTTTCCCTCTGATAACTCAGTAGAGGGATGGGTTTCTTCAGGATTCCTACAGGAAAGCAAAATCAATTTCAGATACTACATACTTTTTATTTTGTTGATGCTTCTTTGAGTAACTTTAAAGAAAAAGAAAGCAAAATTGTTAGAACAGTAAGAATTCAATGTCTTCACACAGTTCTTGATGAGCTCCCTATAGCCTTACTTTAATTTAAACTTGTTTAGATGTAAATGCTGTTAAATGGGGCTTTGATGTAGAAAAGGTCTACCCCAGCACATAGAATAAGAACAGACATCCAGAATTTATCACAAGCAACTCATCCAGAATCAGTACCCAGGTATGTGCACATCAACTTGATGCCAGCGAGGTTAACAAAATGCCATCGTAGCAATGACGAGCAGAGCTTAGAGGATGAATTCTGGTTCATTCTCTGGGGAAAAAAAAGTCCTGTACTAAGTGACAGATTAAAACTGAAGAAAACCTTGACTCCAATTAGCAAGATAAAAACTGCAAACCCCATATCTCTTACCTAGTTGAACAGCTTCTTCAATAATCTTTTTATTCAGATCCATGGCTCTCTGATCTGTAACTATGGCAACCTGTTTCTCCAAGGCCTGCAGCATAGCTGCAATGGCAAGGGCTCCCGGGGGGCCGTCGTTCTCCTCGGGCGGCTGGTGCATGAAGTGGGTGGGAAATCCCGTGGTGATCAGCACGGACCCCGCGTGGGACATGGCCAGGCAGGCCCCCAGCAGCTCACCCTGGCCCTGCAGGTGCCTTATGCCCCGCTCTCCTAGACAAGGGGTTTGAAAGAAGCAATACAATTCAATGTATCATTTTGCTTTTGAAGTTTCCCTCTGGGTGAAAGTACATACTTTAGTGACATAAAATGGGTTAAAAAAAAAAAAAAAGAGAGAAACCTTTGGTCAAGACAGGAATTGGGGTAATTTCCTCAGGAAACCTAAGAAGTTGTAGGACATGAGTAATGAAGAAAATGGGCTGTGCTTCCAGGTTAAGAATGTTGGCTTTTGAAAATTATTATACCTAGCATTTCTGGGTATAAGTGTAAATAGGTTTTTCTGGAAGCTTACTGCATATTTTTTCCTTTCCTTTGGCCCTCTGTTTTCCTTTGACAGTCCTGCTAGATCATATTTAGCTACTGAAGTTAGATTGCAACTCAAGCATCCCAGACCTTACGCAAGTTCTGATGAAGACTTCAGATGTGTAAGCTGGTCCTTTGTCCTCTCTGTTTAACTCCATCCCCTTTGGGAAGAGCTAATTTCTAAATAAATTTCCCTTAATGAGATTATTAACCTCAGAAGTGAAGTTTCAGAGACATTGTAAGTTACCTGGGGACTTCATAAACTCAATTAATACAGTGGTATCCAGGTGACTACTAGAAGTTCTTGTAACACTTCATGTAGCAGAGAACCACGTTATCAGACCTTGAGAAATAGGTGAATATTAACAGAAGTCTTCTCATAGGTAAGTCCCTAAATAGTCAACACTATTATCTGTGTATGGCTTTCTTTGTTCAAACACTTCCTATCCCATGTGCCTTCCCTGTCACTTGGAAAAAAGTTCACAGCTCAGTTCTTTCAATTTTCTAGCACTCAAGAAAACCATGAGTACCAGCATGATGGGTTTATAGAGGCAAGTCTTCACTGTTGTTTCTCAGTCTCCTCATATCTTCATCCTTCTCACTCTCCTCAGCCCCACATTTTCCTCTTTTTGTCCTCAATTTCCCCTTTGGCATTTTTCCCTCTGTTCCTCCTAAATAACACACAGGCAATACACAGATAATGGACAGAGAATAAAGTTCAGAAAACTTAAAGTTAACATAAGCAGAATACAAGTCTCCAAGAAGTGGGGTATATTAACTGAGACAAAGTACTGTACTCTCCTTTAGCAATAAAATGAGATAACTTTTAAGTTAGGTCCTGCATTTCTGCAGAGCATGGCATCATGCCAAGCCAGCTCCAGAGAGTGGGAAAGGAGAGGCCTTGTGAGTAAAAATAAACAGACCCAAATGCATGCACACAGCCCAAACCCGGAGTTTGGGAGTGCTGGGTGTAAGCTGTTTTCCACTGCTGCCTACAGAGGATTTCAGAAAATTTATGGCACACTGAGCTCAGACTTTACAGCAGCCAGAGGGGACTAACTCAGTGTATATTTTAGGAACGGTTGCACTGCTCAGTTTGCCTTTACTTCCCTCTCTTCCTTGCACGCACAGCCCCACTGCTCAGCCTTCTGTGGTGACCTGGTCCCTTTGGTCCATCATACAACACCTCAGTGTTGAGAGTGGTGTTTTTCAAACACATGCAACTACTAGAATTTTCTGGTAGGACCACAGTAGTCATGAATATATGTAAAGAAATGTGCTATCTACTCCGTAGTGAATCCCCATGCAGCTGTTACCAGCAAGCTGAGGTGCCCTGTACTTCACATATTAAATTCAGTTTCACTCAGTAACAGTTCTTGTTTCTTGTGGACTCTCCAGTCTGCTTCTGTGTACTTTGGGAGCATATAGTCATCAAGATCAGATATTCCATTACCCACAATGAATTATTTTGGCCAGACTCTGATATTAACTACAGTAACAGAAAATATAAGACCTAGTTATATAAACTCACTGTATTCCATAAAAAATTCTTAAAATCACCTTTAGATTCTTACTGTGTTCTTGAATTTAAAAACATCTAAAAAGGCAGGATATGTGGTTTATACCCCATAACAAATCCATTAAAGGGAGACAATTTTTGTTTATACCTGGATCTATTCCAATTAGGGTCTCTAGAACCTTTATCTTTTGGGCTGCTTCTTCTGACACAATACTGAAATGCAGAGGATCTCGAGAGATGCAGTGGACCTGTGGGACTCCTCCTGAAGATCTGACATTGTCATTCTTTACATCAGTAATGAACATGCAGCCAGGAGAATGAGTAAAAGCTAATGGAGTTCCTAAAATGAATGAAAAGACTTCAGTTAAATGTTATTATTGCAATGTAACAAGTTACAGGGATGTTAAAATTTCAAAAAGCTGGTTAATATAACAACAGAGTCCCTGCCTGATGACACTCACAGAAACAGGTGATATTTTAAGTTACATTGGAACAATTAATACACTTTGAGAAAGAAATGTATACATGTACATCTGAAAATGTCTTCAGATCATTTTCTTCCACAATGTCCTCTTTGGTCTAAACTTGAGGCAACCTAAGAATGGAACTCTGCTACCCTCCCAAAAGGTCTGTAGTGATAGCATTTGTCTTCTCAAGTCGCCATTACCTGTGATGGGGCCCTGCTCTCCTGGAGATGCCTAAAAACCTGCCTGCCCATGGGAGGCAGTGAATTAATTCCCTTTTTTGCTCTGTTTGCATGCATGGCTTTTTCTTTCCCGATGAAACTGCCTTTATCTCAACTCATGAGTTTTCCAGTTTTTACCCTTCCAGTTCCCTCCCCAGTCCTGCTGGCTGGGGTTAAACCATGACAATTTAAACTGTCAAGGAATAACAACAAAAGGGGACCAGCAAGTGTTAGCAAAGGAAATATGAGTAGTCTCTAAAACCCTGGAGAAAAATAAGCTTTAGACCTGACAGCATAGTAGCTCTCTAAGCTGAAAGTATTTCCTGTCTTTATACTGACTCCAGAAGTCTGAATCCAGGTAATACTTGATTTGGCAAAACTGGTATTTTGTTGGGTAAATCATGACTGGTATACTTAAACAGGCAAAACTTTCTTTGTTAGAAGGGTGAAAATGGAGAAGATATTTCTTTACTAAGTACCTATGTGCTTGGTTTGAGCTACATCTGTTGGGACTCTATGGCTAGCAATTTAAAGCACCTGGAGAACATGGTTGTTGAGGTTTACTATACCTCACCAAACCCTGTGAGCAGACAGTTTTTTGTGACAAACTAGGAGATTCATCTAAAGTATAGTTAATGGTGGTATGGCAGATTTTAAACTTCCTAGCTGAGAAAGTAGCACAGCAAAATAAAAGCTATCCCAAGATTTCCTGGAATGCATTAATGACAAGTGGTTTTAATATAGAAAATGGAGAAATAAACATAAGGGAAAATCTGTTCCAGGCAAGGGCTGGATAGACAGCCACTTGTGCAACACATTGCAGAGACATTGGCACATTTTTTCTCTCTTTTCCCCACAACAAGGATGCATGAAGAAGATGAATTCAGGAAAGAGTAGGATTTTCAACATGGATTTAGGACTGGAGAAAAGAGATTGTATGTAAGAAAGAGAAAGAAGGCTCCTCTTAGAGCTGAACATATTAGAGCAGGTGTTGAAAGAACTTCAGACAAACATCTGTAAGAAACCACAAGGATCTTGCAAGGAGAGATGGACAAAGCAGATGACCTCCCAGGGCTGTCCCAAACATATTGCCTGTGATTATTAAGCTTCTTTTTCAGTAAGAATGAAAATACAGCATTTCATTCCACACAGTGACTTAGAGAAGTATATAACTATGGTTACTATGGTTTTGTTGTGTTTTCTTGCCCTTTGTGCTCATGCCTGCATAAATGACTGCACACAATGCAGAAACACTGCGGAGAAGAAAAAGTTTCATCTATGTAAAGTGTGTCACATTTACTTAATTTTGGAGAAAACTAAAAGCTCAACATTCTCCATGAGAACCCTTTTCCATGTCAATCAATTTGCCAGCTCTTGACAACATTTTGGAAAGATTTCTGGCTTCTCTTTTTTTTCCCCTCTTTTTTTTCTTTTTCCTTTACTACTGCTTTACTTCAATGTAGTACAAAATAATATTTTAAAAGGAAGAAGCTTAAAAATTAATGCCTTTAAACTTCTTTGGTTTTTTATAATGCTTAAAAAGATGTTTTGATGCCAGAGCTACAGATTTAAATGTTCAAAATACACAATAGTGGTGAAATTTCAGCAAGAATTTTCTTTAAAGTAGACCTGTATTTCACAACAAAAACTCTCCTGCCAAAGGCTTTTTTGTTGTTTGGGCTGTTTTTTATCTTACCCTAAAATCAAGCCTGCTAATCAGCCAATTCAGTCTCCTTTAAAAAAAAATAAAACAGAATTCGAGAAAAGAGATTGAGAGAGAATTTTAAAAGAGTCTCTAAGCAGCACATACTGCAGTTGATAATTGCTTCTACTCCTGTTACTCCACAGGCCCAGAATACTGGAATATCACCAGGGTGAAGGTGAACTGGATCTCCATAGTCTGGTTTAGAAAGATCTTGTATTCCCAGCAGACCTAGAATTGATAAAAAATGAAATAATGAGAAATTCTAATTATGCAGTAATACTGCAAAGCTGGGGGATAGACCCCAAACATCATTCAATGACACTGATTTAAGAGTTCAAGAGTGTCAAGTCCCCCTAAAGTGGAATATTTACTTTGTCTTTGAGTGCATGTCCTCAGAGCCTGAGCTGACTTGACTTCTCTTTTTTTGTAGTCAATAACACCAGTAAAAATGTATTTTCTTTATGTCTGCAACAAAATGCAAGTTAGACATCTATGCTGAGTTTCCAAGATAATATAAGTCTTCTGGATCAACAGAAGAATCCTATTCATAGCACTGGCAAACAAGAGTAAATGACTGCTGTGCAAAATGAGATCTTTCTAGAACACATTTTCTACTGCGTTAACTTCCTACATTCTTTAGCTAGAGAAATGATCGATTTCTCTTTTCCTCTCTGTCTTAGATAAATACATCTCACTCTGCCTTTCACTAAATTGTCTTTTGCTTTATTCTAACACCTACTTGTAATAATCTAGGTAATTCTAAGCACTTGCTATCTTCCCTTCGTTTTAAATTCTTCAGATGCTTTAATACACCACTCTATTTTCTGAAATTAATTTACATAACCTGTAAATATGATAATTTACTATTTTGTAATGACTCATTAGTAGTTTTTCTGGCTTAAGTACTCAGATATGTTACTCAAGTACATTACTGGAGTGTTGTGTTAATCAGTGACATCTCCTTCCATGCCCTGCAATGTAATCCTTCTGTGTATATAGCCCATGATTCCCAAACTTCTGATAGCAGGGGAGAAATTACTTCAATCTATCTTCATGTTACAGGTGTTTGGTTGGTTTTGTTCTCTTTCGAACAGCCCTTTTTTTTTTCATTTTTGTTCAAACTAGATTTAAAAAAAAATCTTGTCATATTTCTATTCATTTTGTCTTAAGTCTTGTGCTCATTGTATGCTATTTCAGTATTTTTTAAAATAATGCAGTACTTACTTCCACATTCAACCACTAAGACACAAAATGCTTCTCCCTATGCTGTCAGTCATTGCTATCCTGTCACTGGAATCTCTGACAGCAAGAAAGTATTCACATATAAATGAAACTGCACACATTTTAAAAAAATGTGATTACACTTTTTACCAAAACCACCCCTGCCAGATAACTTATCTACCTCCAACAACAATCTTTTATCTAAGAAATCTGTGTGTTCTGCTTACTCAAAACCTTATTTTTTTTTTTTTCTTTCTTTTTCCTTTTAAATTAAGGTTTGTGACCATTAGAAAGGATTAAAACAGATTTAATGGTGCAGGTATTTCAGTCCTACCACTTCCTATGCTTTCCCCCTTCACCTGTATACACAGTCAGGTGCATGCAGATTGAGAAATGAAAAGCACTGACCAGGGTCACCTATGTGAATTGGTGCTCCATGGGCTTCTTTTAATTCAGATGTTGCTAGCACAGCTGCTCCCAACTTGCTTTCAGGAATAGGTCTCATTGTGACTACTAAGTTGCAGTGAAACATAGAAATGCTGTAGCAGGGCACAGATGTCTGGCAGTTCAAAAGAATGCAGTGTTAGCAGGAATATTGAATAATACTTCTAAAATTTTAGAATAAATAAATCTAAATCTTTGTGCTGTACCTGAGTTTAAAAAGGCTGCATTCTAACATTCATTTTAAATCCTTTTGAAAAAAAACCTTAAGATCCCATATTTTTTTCCTTTAAGTTTCCATAATTTAGCTCCACTACATAGATCACTAAAATTTTTAACTTAGTGCATTCCTTGTTCCGGTGCACACAGCAAGATGAGCTCAGTGTATGTTGAATATTGTCAGAAATCAATGGTATGTTCCCTCTACAGAAGGTGAAAAAGTTAATAAAACTATAGAAAACTATGGCACAGCTGCAAATCTGCTTAGACTGAATCTACTTTCTGCACTTGAATACAGTGTCCTATAACACATCAGGGTCAGCAACTGCTGATGGCAGTACCCACTTGTACAGAAGCTACGTGACAGTTCCATACATACAAATCTTTCATGCCTATACAAAGGCTCTATGGAATTCATCATCCTCACCAACTGTGAGGCTGAGGCACCTTTTCTATTTAGAAATAAAGCAGGTCAGCTTTTCAGGAAAAAATGTCAGATATCTGAGTTGCAGTTGAACATAAACAAGACATGCAGAGCACTAGAGCTGTCTAGAAAATGTTAATTTAAAGCTTTTATAATGATAATAATAATCACACCTGTCACTGAAGAAACACGCTGTGCAGTTCTTCACAGCATTAATGTGCTCTAAACGATAAAATTCTCCTAATTCTGAAATGCTAGAAGCAGATACAGAGTTGTATTTTTTTTTCCTTTAAGCTTGGTAGAAGGACTCATGTATGAGATACGTTTGCACCTTCATTTTGACCAGGAGCATAGCATAGATTGTGTAATGATAACACTGAAAACAACAATAAACTTTCTCCAGTAGCACAGCATGAACTACATGAAAAAAGCATGCAGCTGTGTACTTCAATGTTCTTAGCATTAAGGGCTTTATTTACTGGGGCCAGAATTATTCTAAGACTTCTGTTACCGTTAAAATGTACACCACAACTTTTTGAGCACAGTCATAATTTTCAGTGCTATGGTAGACATCTCAATCTTTGGAAACATCTTCTGGCCCAGAGGCCTGGGTTTGTAGTAAGCGTGCAGTTTAAAGGCTCTACTGCCACAGAATGTGGCTGTCATGCAGAAGAAACTGCTCTTGTCATGGTTTATAAAAGGAATATTCCAACTGCAAGCAGGATCTGGTATGGAAATCAGGACACATGTAAAGACATGGTCAGAACAGTGCATGGATCATTGGGTGAAACAGAGAGGGCAAACCAGAACAGAATCCAAATGAAATGGATGCCCCAGGAAACAGGGAAAGCTTTGTCATGGAAAATGAATAAAAAAGGAGATTGCCCTTACACTGAACTGAGGCTGGGAATATTTTACCCTGTATTTTCATGTGCTCAGTACTAGCACACACCTTAACTTACTGTGTGGGCAGAGAAAAAAAGTTCTGATTTGAACAATAGATATATGCACCTAAGGTGAATATGGGCAAAACTCACAGGCAAAATTACAATAAATATTATGTGTGTGTGTATATACTTACTTTGTACATGCTTACATTACATTTCTGCTCAACGTTTCTGATAGGAATGCCATCTTTTTGGACTGCTTTTTCAAAAGAGAAGCTGCAGCCTAAATAAAAGGTCACCATGTCCTTGAGTTGTTCAGAATATTCCTTAAGGCTTTTCAGTGATCCAGTACAAGCTCCATGCTCATATTTTCTGTACTGTAGGCAGTCAGTTCTAGTGAAATAAGAAGTTATCACATCTTTGTCACATTTTTTGAAAACGAGGTGAATTGGTTCAATTGACATAAACCCAGTGTGAAACCACAAGATACAACCTGCTTTATCCATTTTGTTCTTTCTGACTAACAAGGAAACAAAAACAGCCAAAACCCCCAGAACATCTTATTCTGCACAAAATCATGCTGGCAGACAGAATGTTAGAGATTGAGACTTTTTAGGTTTTATAGGTAAAGGCCCCTTATGCATATCTTGTCTCAGGCTTTCAAAGATTAGGAAGCTGGTTTAAACTTTGTTTTTAGTGTTTACCACAGGAGTACATCTTTCCAATTTCAGAGACTCTACAAGTATCATGCAGACACCACGGCCATGTTTCTAGTAAATAAAACAAATATAAAACCCTATTATTGAATTCTGCAGGCTCAGACTGCAAAATATTTAAAATTTACACAAAATTTTACCTTTGGATTACAGAAATACTTGTAACACTGACTATTACCATAACATGTGGCTCAAGAACAAGATAATCAGGCTGTTACACATGGTTTTCATTCAAAGGTATAACTCCAAGTAAAGAATGTTGTTCAAAATATTCAACAGTGTAACCAGGCTGTGTCCTCAAATCCTCCTAACCATCACCAGCATTCACTTCAGAATATTGGCCAGCAGAGTTGGTCTGTAGTTACCTGATATCAGAATCACTACTCAGGGAAGGACAGTTCCAGTCACCTGGTTGACTTCTGTACAGCAGTGGCAGGGGTCCATCATTTGCATGGCAGAACTTCTCAAAGTCATCAGCCAGGGACTTGTGTAAAATCACAACATTGGCCTGTTTATAGCCTTAAATTGTGGAAGGTAGGAATGGCTGGTTATTAATTCAGCTTTTTGTTTGTGAAACAATAGCTTTTCTGTATGAATTTCTTTAGATGGTTTATAAAAATTACCTGAAGGAAATTTTTGATTCAGAACTCTGTAATTAGATCAAACTTCTTGAAACGTTTTAAAAATCATAGCTAGGCCTACTCTATGTGTGAAGTAATTTACAGCTAAAACAGTTGGCAGACATTGGTAGTAGCAGAACATGAAGACACCATAATTAATAAACATATCTATTAATTTATATATAAACATAATTTCTTGTCTAACTGGGGACATTAGTCATCTGTAGGAAAATGCTTTATTTGCAAATTTTAACTCAGAGCCAAAGATAGGCTATCACAAACTACACTTTCACAATTATTTTTCACCACATCAAGATAATAATCAAGAGTAAACTCCGGGTTTGATGTTCATAGCACATTCTTTAAAACTTCTTGGCTAGAGAATTTTAATGTGGGCTGCAATTAAACAGATATGATTACAGCTCAGGAATAAACTCTTGACTGTCCCCCAAATCTCAGTAATTTCTAATTAAAATTCCAATTTAATTTCTAATTAAAAAAAACCCAAACAAAACCAAAACTAAAACAAACAGAACTGCTACACTTTCTTCACTTGGAAACAGCTTTGATTTAAAAGGTTGTTCACTACTACTATGAAATAGCTTCTAAAGACATTAACATTTTTGCAATGAGTACCACTGAAGAAAGGTCCCATTCATTTATTTAACAAAAATTTATTTTCTTAACAGTGGTAGTTAATACCAATGCCATTTAAACTTTCCTGCATGGAAATATCAACTGTTCAAATAATGGGGGGAAATTTGGAGTAAAATGACTCTGGGGTGTATAAACCTAGCAATTAACAATCTCTAAATTCTGTACTGATACTTTCTTGAAGAATTATTACTGTCTGATACCAGGCAGGGGAGTAGGAGGCTGCACAGAAGCACTCACTTTCTTAAATACTGCAGTAGTCTGTCATCAAAAAGGCAGTAATTTAGTTGAAATCAATGAGCTGCCTTCAAAGGCTGTAGAAAATGAGCCAAATCTTACTCTTGACCAAAGCTAACAAAGAAGTCTAAAGAGAATTCTATTCCTGATGGAAAAAATGCAAAGCAAAGGCTGAGGTAAGCATGCATTTGCATTCTGAATTTGTCCATAAACTGCTCTCTTGGAAGTAGTCAGCACAAAAATTCATTTTATTACTAGCAAAAGTTACTAAATATAGCAAGAGGTTCTTGCTAAATACAGAAAAATATTTTTGCTAAATAAACATACTACATTTACCACTGAATAAAACACTAAATTTGGTTACCCCTCAATTTCATTCCCTGCCATCCATGAGAAATCCACAAGCACTTTCTGCTTTGCTAGCTATATTAATGAGTTCTTAAAATTATGGGCTTAGTCAGGAAGGACATTCAACTGACAACACTGAATTTCACATACTAGTTACAGATGACAGACTGAATCTCCGGGCAAATACTTGATAAACTCAGGAAGTTTCATTATAACACTTTGAGAACTTTATTGCTCCTCCTGATAGCTGTCCTTACTTTTTGTAAACATGAAACCCAAATCTCCTGATGGATTCACTTACATTATGGAGCCATCATTATGAATGTATTCACAAGCAATGGATGTGCTGATCAACCCTGGCATTAATTCAACACACTCGTGTCCCAGTTCAGAGAAATTTAGAAAGAGCTTTTAACTTCTATGGTGAATGACAACGAGGACAGTAAGAAAGAATTGGATAACAACAACATAAGACAATTTGTTGCAATAGTTCTTTTTGTATAATGAAACTGTTCACAAACTTTCTCTATATGTCAACAATACTTTAAAAAATGTTAGAACTAATACATTTAAAACTACTGCAGCAATAAATTCACTTAAAAATTCAGCTGGGGCCAATTGCAAATTATTAACATTATAAAATTTCTTCCATTAGTATTCTTCAACTTAGGAACTCATAGAAAAGAAAACCACAATTTCAAGACTGACTACAGTTCTAAAAAATAACCTTTAACATTTTTTATAGTAATGCTACTATTGTACACGCAGCTTTGTCGGTTGGCTATTTGCTATAGTATTTTTGTTCACATGATTTCTTAAAGTTGATCACAACAATGACAGACTTCTCTACTTCTGTAAAAGTCCAGCTATGAGAGGCAAGACAGAAATTAATCTTCCAAAATGCATTCAGTTGTCTGAATATAATACTAATTTTTCCCTCCCCCTTATAATTCCCAGTCTTGCTGACCCAGTAATCTTCACCTTCTGCAACAAATGAAGCAGAAAACCACTCCTGTAACTATTTGTCTCCAATCCTTCCCCAAAGCATATTTGATGTACTAAGTAAGGCAAGGTCTCTGTGAAGAATGTAGTAGGTCATCTTACAAATGTGATAATAACATGCAAGGAAACACAGATTTGGTTAAAGATTTTTCAAATATTTTCTGCGTCCATCATTTCTCAATGACAACTGGAAGCTGAGGGGTGCACTGCAAACACTGAAAACAAAGTCCATGTACATTATTCAGGTAAGATGGTGTATTTTCTCCGATATATCTTTATGATTGAAAAACACAGAGTCAGATGCTTACAATGAGATTTCAAAAACACCCAAGAACGTAACATTCTCTTCTGTTTTACTTTAGTGCTTTTGATATTTCTTCAATCCTTTACAAACAAAAAACCACACAGTTATGAATCTAAAATGGAATCACTTTGCACAGAGAGCTGTTAGGTTTACTCACCTTCTGCCATTCCAGAAGTATTACTAATACTGAGTCTGTTGCATCGAATCATTCTTCTTAGCACATGAGGAAGGAGAGATTTCAAGCCTCCTGTCAAAAGCATCACTTCATCCTTAACAGAAAGATAATTATAAATTTAAACACAAAGTGTCTTTTTTTTTTTTTTCCCATTTTAAATTCTGATTTTCTGGAGAGCTTAGCTTACATTCCCTCCTCATGTTCCATCAAAGAAATTCTAAGTTGTAACTCAAAAGGGAGATAAAATTCAAAGGGTTATTTCACTGTCATTCTATGACTATATGCAAACTGAATCTTTCAACAAATGAGCTGGAAACTTGCCTTTTAACATTTGGGATAAAACACAAAATTTTGCTGCCCTATAATGTAAGAAACATTTCTTTCTTCCCTGACACATATTAATTTTCTAGAGTATTCAGTTTTCCAAAAGTCATTGTTAGGTGAACTTTAAAATTGCAAAAGCACAAGTGGATTAACCTAGCAGGGTATATTCTATAATATTACTTCTCTGATCAAAATACTTTTAGACAATTAGCAATGCAACCTTGTGGTAAAGAGAGAACTATATTCAGAAAATGTCATTGTAATACATTTCACTTGTATTATGGTTTTCAGATATTAATTATGCAGAAGTGAATACTTCTGCGGCTATTCTTCCAGTGGGAAAGCACACATGGAGATGTTTAAGTCACTTGTCACACAATCTGGAGTAGGTACAGAAATAAGTTTCCTAATTACAATCAATATCTGCCTCTTTTTACTTCTTTTGAAGATTTAAAATGTCATTTTTCTGCAATTCAAAGTTCATACAAAGCTTATCTCTCAATCTGAACTACTAATAACTAAAAAGGGTTTATTACATCACTATTAGGAAAAAGTTAAGTCTGGCTAAAATCATAGCATGGCTGCATTGGTCATTTTTTAGGTAAAGAAACGGAACTATCCTCCAATTAATTAAATTACCAACCTCCAAGTTTTTCTTTAATTCGAAACAAGCCATTCTTGATGCCATTCAAAAGAAGTAACAGATATGAGAGAAACTGTGCTGCTCTTTTTAAAATATACTGCTAAATTAATATATAATGAGATGTTACATCCTTCTAGCAAAAGTTAACTTTTCTGTTAAAGATCCACAGTTTTTGTTCTGCAACTATGATAGTGCAAAGTTTCACTCTCACAATGGGAGAGTGGAGTGGAATAGTGTGAAAATTTGTTCCTCTGAGCAGTTATTCTGTAACTAACTTGAAGATCAGTGATATATTTTGATTGAAATGATACTTTTATCCGAGTCTGCCCAAAATGTTTCCTAGAGTTTGCAGAGCTCTGGAAGGTTAAGTTGGAATCTCTGGAAGGTTAAGGTTGCACTGAAATTTAGAGTGAACTTTGCATCTATTCTTGATTCTGAAATCTTTATATAACATTGTCAACCAAAAGAAAACAGTCTTTTTTTCTGAACTCCAACTTACTACTTTCTAGCTCTTCTTTGCTGCTTTTGCATTATCACTTTGTATGATGTACAAAAATAGCCTTCATTACAAAATCATGAAAAATTCCAAACACACACTTTTCAGATAACAATAAGTTGGATATAGAGATATTGCTGAGCACTAATCCAGGCCTATAAGTATCAGTTTAAGACACGCTATTCTTACAGTAAAGAGAATTTCTAACACCAGTCTGGAATTATTAATTCAAGAGATTTCAAACTAAACACAATGATCCTAATAAAACATACCAGATGTGTTAATTAGATTCTTTCCGATAATTTTTATTTCCAAGGATTTTTAAACCATCTAAATCATCTGTAGGATTGATGGCCTACTACTGATGAACCACTAGTTTACTTGGAATTGAAAGACAGTCTGAAGTTCAGAAAATTAGTGTGGAACAACAGCTGTCTTTAGGTAAGTATTTTGTCACAAATTCCCTGTTCTGATGTTGGCAAAGCGTGATTGTCCTCTCATAAAGTGTGTGCTCAACAGCAGAAATGAAAGTACTGATGAGATTTTATCAGCAAACATTTAGGCCCCTAAAAGCTTTTGGTTCATATGACAGCACGTGGCTAAAACCAACACGACTATGAATATCAATAATGCTGAAATGTCACCTGTAGATATCATACAGAAGCATTTGAACCTGTTGCTCCTATTTGTGAATAAACATATACTATTGATGATGAAAAGTGAATAATTTAAACATTAGCTTTGTCTAAGTGCAGTGAGGCAAGACTCACCTTCCTGTTGTGATTTTATATAGCAACAGGAAAAATTCAATTTGATTAACATTCTGAGTTTTAACTTTAGATCATATATATTTGCTGTACAATATCTGTAATAGATTGTGCTGGTATTTTTTTATTAATTACTAAATTTGGATAGACAATAAAACCAGTGAGATGCTCACAGTAAAACCCAGCTTTTGCTATATGACTCCCCCACAAATAGTTGGAAATGCAGTATGCTATTTCTATAAGCTAGGAGGCATAGATTCCCCAACCATCTCTAGAACTTCCTGAAAAATCCTCGAAGGTATCATGACCGTGGCACGTTTAGAATGACTGGGGAAAAGCATGGAGGTAATTAGGATCTTAAAGAATCTTTTCCATTTTTTTCCATCAGGATGCCTAATGAAGTGTACATACTGACTTCACAGGGGCCTCGAGAAGCACTCTCAGTAAACAGTTTGAGACAGGGGTTAATCAGTTAACAGGATCTGTGCCTTGGCACAGGTTTCTTAATTCCTTTACTTTGTTCTGAGATAGTTTCAGATAATGATAGTATCAGTTACCTCACAGGGGTATGTTGGATCAGGACACAAGTAAAGACTACATGAAGGGTGTAAAAAGGCCTTAAGAGAAGAGGCTGACAGAGCTTATAAGATGGCTGAGGGCATCCAATGTGGTGTCCCTCCAAAGAGTAGTTCAGAATAATGAATCAATTTTTCAGAAACAATATTGTATTGAAATTACATTAAATTATAAAGATACATGTAAATAGTCAAGAAAAAAACCTCTTTTTGAAACAAAGTGGCAGTCAGGAAATACAGTTTGGTAAAAGTACAGTACAGTTTTGGTAAAAGTTCTAAATGGATCTTGGGTCCAGATTTAATAAGTAACACAAAATTGTTGGTTGACGTCTTCATTCAGTAAATATTTGTGCAGCACCACTTCAGTGGAATTAAGCAGATACACACTATATGATTAATTTGGCCCAGATGATTTTAAAAATAACTTATTACCAAGACAATCACAATTTTCAAGAAAGCCAGATTTGGAGGATGAATATTTTTTTATTGCCAGCATCCCTGGTTGCCATATGAAGCTCTAAGTCATTAACCATTTCTACAAGCTGTTCTCAGAGCACTAGTTGAATACAGATGACTGAGTGCACTGCTGTGCTGATCTTTGCTGAGCTGACTGGAATGGGACTGGTTCTAAGCCTCATCTTTGTAACTGATTGTAAAGAATATGCTCTACTTCCCCTGAACTCCACAACTCATGTAAGGAAAAAAAGCATGTTGAGAGGAAGACATGAAGTAAGAAAAATGTAGTTCCAGACAAGATTTAATAAAGAGATTGACCTGCATTTCAGATGACTTGCATGATAGACAGAGTAGCCTCTTTGCATCTTCCAGGCTATTTCTTATTTTCTTCCTCTGTCTCCAGTATGCCTTTATCTCTGCATCTTTTCCTCCCTGAGCTCAAACCCTTATCTCCATAACTCCAAGTTGGGCTGACCTTTGTAGCACTTGCTTCTTTGGTTTTTCCGACTGCATCCTCTGGCAGTATGGGAGTTTGGATGCTTTCTCTCACTAGCTCTTTTTAATTTATATACTTGATGTATCTCCCAGTTGTACCTTAGCATCTCAATTTTTAATCTTAAACGAGCTTTTTCTCTTCCTAGTGTGAGGCAAAATAGACTAGCATCAGAAACCAAAATACACAACAAATTCATAAATGTTTTCCCAGACTTGTAAGATTTAGACTACTCTGACCCCACCTATACTCATAGGTGAATATACATCTATATATCTCTTTTAATATTACAGACAGACTTGGCTTAAGCATAGTTTTTCTAATTATTTCACTCAATTTCTGACAGTGGAACAACCAATCAGCCTTATAAAGTTATGTATCTTACAAGCTACAGTTTATGAAGTGTTTTTACAGTCTGCAGAACATAAGCTCTTTATGGAAAAAGAAGGAAGAGCAGTAAGTGAAACATTTTATATTACCTTAGAGCTTTCAAAATGAAAAAATGAACCTGTAAATTGTGCAGATATTTAAATATGAACATAGATTCTTTACAGGCCTACATTATAAATTATTCATTACCCAAGAAAATGGAAAAATGTCATTTAAGTGTCAGAGAGATTACACTTTGAGATGCAGTGGGTGGGTCCATACTGCTGTGCTAAACCACTCCAGATAAAAACGAATAAAGAAATTATGTAATAACACAAAGAATTGAAACATGCTTCAGAAGTGTCAGTGTGACTACATATCAAGTGAATTAATGAAATAGAAGTTAAAAAATAGCATTTCTGTGGTTTCAAAAATGGAATGCATGAGAATACACAGCCTGTAAAAAGTATGGGTGGTAAGGGTAATAAACAGGTTTGAACACTGCAAAGTAATTAACACCAATTTCTGGTGTTACGAGTTACAGGTCTGTTTCTTCAGTGGCACTGACAGAATAACAAGAATATAGTTTAATGCAGCGTAATCTAGAGACTTCCTTGCACGGAGCCCAAAGAGTCTTATGAAATACAACCTTGCATTACTTATATCACTTTTGTCCTATTTTCAGTTTAAAGTTTGATAATAATGGGTGGTGGCATGTACGGGATCACGGGCCAAAACAGTGCAAGGGTCACCACTTAAAACTGCTGGGCAGGGTTTTTTAGATATTGTCACGCAGATACCTTAGCCACAGCTACTGCTGCATGAACAGGAACAACAGGGTAACCTGAAACATGAGCCAGCCCATGGACTGCCTTTACCAATACATAATGGAAAGTAATCTAAACTAATTATAATCTAACAAACTCTTTGTGCACTATGCCTTGCCCTAGTATGAATATGGTTACAAAGGTTTGTTAACGTAAACACACTTTAATTGACCTGCTGTTTAATCATCAAGCTGATTTGAAATTCTGCCAGCAGACTACTGTGGAAAGCACAAGCTTCCCTGAAAATTTAGTCCATTTGATTTTCCAACAGGGTCTCAGTTACGCTTGTGATCTTTTATTTGAAGAATCAATTAATGATCCTTTTTTTCCCCATCTCCTATGAATCATTTCAAAGCACAGAGGATCTTTGTGTATCATTCTGAAAGGGGAGTGTGTTGTGTATTTTCAGACAGTAATTCATCCAGCAAACTATTATTTAACTTTACATTTGAAATACAGGGTACTTGCATTTGAAGTTTATGCACCTTTAGATGAGGGGTCCAAACAGAAATTTAAATTAGCTTCCATTAGTGTTCTGTCTGCTGCTTAAAGTAACCAGCCTATACTTGAGATCTGGCAGATTATGTCAGGATGAGAAATTGTGATAGAATCAGTATGCCTTTGATGCAACCTTGTTTATTTGCAAAAATAGGTACACAACATTTAGTTTTTCTCAGTATATTAAGAACAAATAACAGAAAGCAATTACCAGTTTCAAAGCAGCCATTTCAGACAGCACTGTATGCTGCTGTGACTACTGCACTGGCATTACTTTACACTCAGCTTCTGCTCTGGGACAAAATAAATTGTTTCTCAGGTGAAGAAATATGGGCAGAAACTAGAGAATAGTTCATATCAGGTCCTGCCCTTGCATGGGCACAACCTATGCAAGATCCCAGTTGTTCGGGCTTTTTTATCCTGCAAAGGATGAGCCCTCATGACTTCACACACCCTTCCCAACCCCTTGGGTCATATCCTAATACCTGCATTCCTGCTGCCTCACCTTACAAATACATATGACGAACAAGTTTGAGAACATCCACCTCATTTACATGCACCTTTGGCAAGACACAGTACACACTTAAGAGGACACTAAGAAATTCATCAAGATTTAAAACTGCTACACTCATACCTTGGACTTTGCTGAAATACTCACCAGTAGCAAGAAGAGACTGCAAACGATCCACCAAAGATTGTTTTCATATAAGATGACATGAGACACTTATTCAACTTGAAGAAATTTTAAAAAACCATGAGGGTATGGGGATGGTATTTAAATATTGTTTCCCAATCTATGCTCAGGTACAGATCTTTAGACTTGCTCCACAATTCTTTGGGCTGGGTCCAGATACTAGAGATCCTGGCCTCTTCTGGCATCAAGGCTGTGCAAGAATGCAGGGGAACTTTGCTGTAGGCCAGCAGCACTAGCCTCTCCCATGCCCCTGTGCCAGGACTGGTCAGCTAACACTGCACACAGCAGCCAAGGTGATGGGCTTTGGCTGGACAAAAACTCCTAAAGTGAGGGCAATTTTTCTTTCCAGTCTTATTCAGAAGGAAGGTGGAAGTCCATAGGACAAAGTACAGCAACTTGTACTGCTTTGTTGGCAAGGCAGCAGCCACAGGTGCTTGTTTCGATAAGAACATATGTCACCACCTAGGTTACACCCACTCACGTCATGCATGGTCACAGGGCTAATGGGGTGCTCATTCCTACCAAGGAATTCCATCTGAAGGTAAGCAGGTAAGTGATGCTCTACTACCTGCATATCATAAAAATAGAACCATGCTCCCAAAAAACGTGCCATGCTCCTGCTGTCAGGTCTTTCAGGCTACCTCCAGGATTACACCATTCCTTTTGTGTTCACATGTCTTCCAGCAGGTGCTGTCACTGCACCTACCACTGCTCACCAAGCAATTCTCAGCGATGGTCACTAAAGAAATGATTCCAGACCATGTGTTTGCACAAAGTTAGTGTCATTGAGATGTGGGTGTCTCAGTAGGCTGCGTGTGGGGAACTTCCAGTTTGTACTTCTACAAACTACCAAGAACAAACATCTCTGCTTCCACACATACTTGTGATGAAGAGATATTAACTTTCATTGTTTCACTGCTTCCTTCAACTCCTAGAGCAAGAAGTACTGGGAATAGCTCAAAAGGACAGAGTGTCATTTCCCTGACAAACCTCCAGGCACAGGTAGTGCTATATGGATAATCTGTGGCAGGATCTTCAAGAATACCTCACTGCAACTTTCAGCAGTAAGTATAGGTAAATTGCTGTTAGCGGCTATACTATGTGGTAGCAAATGGTCTGCATTTGGACTGCTTTTTTGTCCTGGAGCATCTACACTGCCCCCATAATAAATGTTAATTTTCACCAAGGATAACTGGACAGCTTTGTTCTGCAGCATCCATTCTAAATTGAAAGGTTCCAAGTTATGGACAAATTATGGCTGCATTACTATGCTTTCGTTAATGCATGCCTGACAACTGTGGTATTATGTGGTCACTGTAGTTGTCATGATGATCTGGAAACTGCCCTCAATGGTCTGTTCGGTGCAGCCAGACACCTGCAGACACATTTGTCATCTATCTGCAAGAGCTCAGGGTGTGTTTGACCAACACTTAGTAGAGCAGGACAATGAGAAGGAATAGCAACAAGCAGTGCCATCAGTAATTAGGTATATACTTAAAGGCTGACAATACCACAGTCCTTTTCGAGAAGAAAGTGCTGCTTTTGTCCCTAGTGAAGATGCCCAAGCCCTGAAAACCACAGATGTTACATACTTATTTGGTAGACTGTATCACAGACCCCACAAATAATCAATGATAATCATCACCATCCCCGAACTTGTGAAAAAGAACTTGTAGAATGAATGAGTTATAATCCTGAACAGTTAAAGTCCCTTGTGGGCCTAAATGAAAATCTCTACATCATTCCTAACTCTTCCCCTGCCTATACAGAGAAAGTATGAAACTCTACAGCAGTGAACCTTTGAGGACCTCAACTGTGCAGTAATGTGAGTGATGGTAGACCTGGATGGCAGTTCAAACAAGCTACACCAACCTGACTGTCCAATCATTCGCAGGAATCAGGAATTAACTAATTTTATAGGCAAGCAGCAACCACACTGACCATGGGAAGAGACTTTCTGCAGGTGGTGTGTTGGTGCTGCAGAGCACCAACAGTTGCCCTCACCATTTCTGAACTCAAAACAGTAATTCAAGACCAGTATATGTTGTAATTGCACTGGGCAACTGTCCTCATCCACCACAGCAACCCTTGGCAAAGCACAGAATGCTATGTCACAGCCAGAGGCTGCCATAGTCCTACTGTATAGAAGAAAGATGGGCTTGAATGGAAGCATTGGGTTCTGAAAAGAAAATTCCCAAATTCGTAACTTTTAAGGGCATGAAAGGACACAGCCCTTATCAAACTGTCCAGGGCAGCCTGATCCCACAGCATGTGGGTGTTGCTGATGCAGTCACTCTGTCATGGCACACTCGGGCATCACCACTGCTGGCAATAGCATCATGGCTGTGAAGCAAGTGCAAGGGAGAAGCTCAGGACCTCTGCTCTGCTGTTGGTGCCAGCACAGACCACATGAAGAACTTCACATCTAAGTTCCTGGTGACAGATTAAATCAGGTATTGGTTGATTAAATGCTCTCACACTGTAGCTATTCAGTGCTTTACACAGTTATATACAATACATTACTGTGCCCAGTGCAGTTACAGTGGGCAGACTGAACATCTCAAACCACTGTGTTCATGAGCAGTATCAGCAAAGAGTTCAAGACTTTGAAAAAATGCAATTACCTTTCTAGCTTATACAGTTAATCCAGAACTTTTACTGCTTTTCCCTATGTTCCATGAATAGAGTAAGATCTGTACACATATCACCCTCAAACCTTTTATCACCATTAAAAGTTCTTTCAAAAAAGCAGTTTGCTGTTAAAAGAGATGACTCATAACGCTGCAGCATCAGTTAGCTGGCTTGCAAGGGATGCTGATGTCATAATTTTGATTTTCATTACCAAAGAATATGAATTACACTTCTATCACCACATTTTATATTTTAAACATATAAATAAGCTATAGTGATTGGTATCTTGGTGTGGTCTAATTCAAAAATTGAGCCTATATTTTGTATAGAAGCAACACAAAACAGAAGTTTAAGTTTTTACTATTATGATTTTTTTTAGAGCTTTGTTCCCAGATATGGTAGACGTAAATATGCCTAAAACTACCACAGAGCTTACAGTTTAAGGACTCAAACCTCTAGTACTTCTATGAATATAAGAAAAAGAGATAAGCACATAATTAGTCCCATTGAGCTCAAGGACAGATGAAGCGCTTAAACATTCGCTTTATGGTATTTCAGCTGCATACATGTTTTCATACGAGCCATATCCTATATGCAGAGCTACATAAAGAAAGATGTGATAGAAAAGTTAGCATAAAGACAACAATATATAAACAATGCACTTGCTTTTTATAAACACGTGTATGAAACAAGCTAACAACCTTGACGTAAGTTACAGCTAGTGGTGATGAACTACACAGTTCAGAAATAACATCTAGCTCTGTTTTTGTCTGCTTAGCAACCATTGAACCTTTTTCCTGGTTTCTGTATACATGCCAGATAGGAAATTGTAAAAACATAACCTAAAATTCCATATCCCACATTTGGAATTTGATAGGATAAAGGGTTATATCTTTAAACTGAAAGAGGGTAGGGTTAGGTTAGATATGGAGAAGAAATTCTTTTCTGAGAGGGTGGTGAAGCACTGACTGAGGTTGCCCATCTCTGGAAGTGCTCAAGGCCAGTTTGAAAGGGGCTTTGAGAAACTTGGTCTAGTGGAAGGTGTCCCTGCCCATGGCAGAGAGATTGGAACTAGATGATTTTCCAGGTCACTTCCAGCCCAAACCATTCTCCAGTATTCCTATTCAGGAAGCACTTTTAAAGTGTAAACAGTTTTGTTCTTGGACTTTTTTTCACATAATTTATTATACATCCTAAATTTGGGGAGTGTGCTAAGTTTCGCTTTATTTTGTTTTCAAATGATTAAAGACTCTTGGCTTGTTTGAGCATTAGTTTTTTATCTGGCTGAATTTTCCTCCTTCTCTGAAATGGATTTTCAATTTACATTACACCACAGAGCTGAATAGTTTCATGGTACTGTTAATATGTACATAAAGTCCAAATAACTCAAAATATTATTAAACAGTATTCTTCTTAAGATAGAATTAAAGCTACATCTATCTATTTAAAGTATCCTGACTTTGATAGTGATCAATAATGCATACCCTAAGGAATAGCTCAAAAGCAGAGAAAACATTCACAAAACCTAGCTGGTTTGTTCTTCCAGTATTTCATGACCTCTGGTTCAGAAACTCTGGAGCTAAGGGACATTTCTTTGTTTGTAGAATTTAATGTAAAGATTGATATCCAAGTGGACTTTATCCCATATAACTGCAGCTTTCAGTGTTTCATATGGATGTCACCACCTATCTCCTAAATTACTTTACTTGGAAAACTGTCTAGATGCAACTGCTAAGAATTTTGCATGGAGTGTTTCATTAGGATTCCTCTTTCAAAGCCAACATATTTAAAAGTAACAAAACTGTGTTTGTATTAGAATGCAATCTACAAACACAGGCATTCCTTTAATCCTAATTCCATAAATATATTTCTTCTTGAGACAAGCATCTTATATGAGTGTTCCAGCAATTTTCAGCCGTATCTCCTCCCAAAGAAGGGTCAGACTACACACTATATGCAATGACAAAAGACAAGACAAATTAAAAGCACTCAGCAGCTTGCATTAATGTGCTCCAAGTCTAAATTTACAATTAAAACAAAGCATACACATTTGTAAAAAAACAAAACCGGAAAGGCTGTGGGGTTTGTCTCCAAAAGATTAGTCAAATCTGTGTGATTTTGATTGTGGGGGAAAGGGAGCAATGAGTTTGGTTCAAACCTAGGCCTATTTAGGTAGCTTCTCTTTTAATATAACTAATACAAAGACACGTTTTTGTAACCACCTGGAATTTTGAAGATGGAGTACATATAGAAACAGTGTTTCTGGACAGAAAAAAAACAAACAGAATGGATAATTGCTTAGCTACTTGGAAACATAACCAAACTAAATCATATAGAGCAAGGTGTATTTTATTATTGCTGTATCCTAACTACCAGGAAGTGTTTTTAATAATATGCAAAGATAGAAGAACATTATGATTTAAATACAGGACCAAGGTGGTTCTCATTACAGATTGGAAAGAGAAGATTTTAATCAGGCAAAAGGAAGACAAACAGGCATCAGTTACTAGAAACTGCTGTGATTTCCAGTCAGACTGACAGAGCAGTAGGAGACTGTTAATAAAAAAAAAAATTACTACTACTAACATTTGAAGAGATGATGGTACCTAATGACTTATAAACTCCATTCTCTATTGACAGATTTCCCTAATGGAAATTTCTTTTCTATTCTTATAATACTTGTCTTTATAAATTAACTGAGTTTGACATAGAAAGCTTGCTATACAAGGCTGATTTTGAACCTATTAAGCACTTCAGACTGCAGATATATGAGATATACAATCATTGTGTCCATGAGAAAATTGTCAGAAGTAATGCAAGCTCACCAGAGCATTAAAATGTAAGACTGGAAAGAAGTGAGACTTCCTTGCTAGACATCTAAGATACAGTTTACCAGAAGGCATATAAAAGAATATGAAACCGTACATAAAAATAAGCAAATCTGTGTCCTTTGCATCAAACAATAAACATGCTTCCTCCCTTCCCCCATTTGGTGGAAAGTTTAAAAAGCAAGCATTCTGAGTATATCCAGCTTCAGTTTGGATAATATTACACAATATTTTCCACTCCTTTTGAAGGAGAAAAATATTGTGAACTGTACTTGGTTTCAAAATCTAGTGGGAAAAAAACAGTATTTATATCTATATAAATAATATATATGCATTTATTCCATGGTTGATAACATAAAGCAAACTGTTCCCAATTAAAGTTATTTCAAGACTGAACAAATTTAACAGAACAAAAGTCCAAAACGCGTAACTTATAGTTCAACGAATAAAATGATCAGTATGTGACTTTCCCATGGTTACTAAGCGTACAAAAGAAAATATATGAAATAAAGTGCATTAAGTGGGCATTGTTTAGGATACAAACTATGTATATCAAAAATATCTAAGAAGATTAACGGAAATGCATCTAACATCAGTGACCTTGGGTTCATGAGCTCTGCAGAAGTCAAGCAACTCAAATATATTTCTTAAAAATAAAAAGGAATAGAGAGGATACCACACTTACAGATGGCTGATTTTGTACCTGATAGACACAAATTTCTGATGAACAACCAATTTCTGACCTTTATAGTATTTATCAGCTTCAGTAAAAAAGCCAACGTTTTCCCAGTTTACAGTTGTTTTCTAAGGGCTTTTATCATAGCACATTAATAAGAAATTTTGGGGGGGTGGCTTTTTGTTCTGAGTCTGCATCTTGATCAGCTGTATCTTGTCCAGCTACAGCAAGGGCTCTTCAGTGCAGATAGTCTCTTTCACTGAAAGTAGCCTTGATACCACGTATAAAATAACATTTATAATTAATTCATTAGATCTTTTTGTCATAAATCAAAATACACTTGTAGCTTCTTTGAAGCAACTTATGAATATTAGGGTAATTTGATGGCAGGAATATTTTTTGCATGAATATGTTGGTAGGTAGATGTAAGACAAGCAAAAAATCAGGAAAGACAAGAGATAAGTTTCTCCAAACTAAATAGATAAGGATTAGCAATGAACATTTTACAAACAAGGGATGGTACGATTATTAATAAAATGGATAGGCAGACTTTCTTTAAATGTTATGGTTTTATGGTTATTCTATAAAAGGCTCTGGTTTAATAAGAGTATACGACTTCTATATTCGTCACATTAAAGAATCCCAACAGGAATAAAGTTTACAAAACCAAACAGAACAACCAAATCAATAAGGCCAAATGAGATTAAACTGTAGCCCAAAGCTTCAATACCTAAAAGGATGCACTGTGAAGCTTCAACATAGAGGGGTAAAAGGAATAATAGGAAGAGACAAGATGATGTGAGAGACACTTAACGTCACCTTCAGCTGTGACAACAACATTCTTAACTTTGTAGCTGAAGGCAAATGGATGTCGCTGCTACCATAGCAGAGGCAGGGAGTGGGGGGAAGGCTGCTCTCCTGGGGTGTGTGGGTGGTGTGAAGGCATTTACCTCTGCAGAAAAAGAGAGGCACTGGAAAGATTAGGTAACTTGTCTGAGAGGAGGCATGGCATATCCAAAGTCAGAAAGGATACATAAAAGGCTACAGAAAACATGAGTATGGTCTGCCTTGAGACGCAGGATTAAATAAGGGATTAACACTTGCTGCTTGTCAAAGCAGTGAGACTCTGATGATTTCCTCAGAATTTCTCTCCATCTCCTCCTTATATATCCATCAAAGGACAGTGTTCAGGGACTACAGTGCATTCCTGTCCAAACTCATATGATTTATAATTCTGTTGTTTTGGTACTTGTTATCCAAAAGTAATTATTTTATCTTATGCATAAACCAAACCAGTACCTCCACTAATCACAGTTTCCTAAAGAAAAATACTGTCACACAGTGGAACAGTTAAATCAATTTGTTATCTAAAGAAGCAGGAAAATAACGGCAAGCATCTCACAACTCACTACTGCCAAAACTAAATTCTTGGGTGGGATTATAAGGCCACACCACATTATAGACATATATTTCTGTGCTGGTGTGAGAGACTGGAAGGGTTGCTGTCTTGAAACCTTTGACATGTGTGTGGAAGAGGCAGGCCAGGCCTTTCCCTGGTGAGGCAGTGCCCTGGCCCATACACCCCCTGGGCCCGTACCCCAGCCCTGCAGTGGCCACCAATCCCTGACACAATGGAGGCAACACTCCACTCCTGACCCTGGAGCTCCCAA